TAATTATTACAATTTTATTTTATTAGATAAAAAATTACACCTCTTAAAATTAAATAGAAAGAATAAATAATTAAAATAGATAGTGATTATAAATTTACATTAATTTTTTATAAGTATAATAATTTGTTCTCTTTAGATCTATTTTAGGAAAAGTGAACTTATGTAAGCTGTGCAAAAAAGGGTTAATTTGCAACCATGCAATGAATTGAGGGGTTGATTTGTCATCATTCACTGAGTATAGGGGTTGATTTGCCACTGTTCACTGAGTACAGGGGTTGATTTGCCACAATTCATTGAGTACAGGGGCTGATTTGCCTTTTTACCTTTTTTTTTTAGATTTGAATTGCACTGATTTAATTTCGATTTCGATGTACCAGCTAGTACATCAAATTTCAGCCGATACATTAAAATTTGATAAAAAAATCCGATATTTGATTGAAATAAAATTCAAATCTATATCGTTTCAATTAACTTACAAAACCGATACGAACCGACCGTAATTCCCAGGTGCGAAAATTGCCTAGTCATTCTTTGCCTAGTCCAAAATTCAGATTAAGGAAATGGGTAAATCATGTAGACAGGAACAAAGCCAATAAAAAACGATGTAAGTATGGTTTCTATTATCATAAGTGGGATTGTTAATGAGTAGAGTAGTTTGTGAATAGCTCGTGTGTTATTCTAGTTAAGCTCAATTCAAGTTTAACTTTTTTGGTAAATGAGTTAATCTCGATTCAAGTTAAATAAGTACTCGTTAGCTTGAATTTGTAAATAAACTTGAACTCACATGAATACTTATGAGTTTGAATGCGAGCTTAATTATTTTGAATTCAATAAATACTTGAACTCGAATTGTTAAGGTGAATTCAAGCACCAGTACTTAGTTATTCGACTTGATTCGACTAGTTAACATAAGTACAAAATGACTTGTACCTTGGACGGCGAAGAGGAAGTACTATTGCTTGGAAAGGAGCATAATTTTGAAAAACAAAAGAAAAAAAGGAACATTAATATTTTGAAATCACAAAAAGGCCATTAAAAATTTCCTAAATTTTAGCTCCCTTGAACTCCTCACTCAAATTTTTTCTTTGTTCTATTCAGTATATTCCTTCTCCAGGCCTTCGTGTTAGTTTTCTAAATTGCCTAGTTTGCTTGTACCATCCTTCATTTTTGGGTTAATTTATCTTTTGAAGAAACTCCTTTTGCCTTGTTTGTTCACCTCTAGTTCCTCATCCTTGGTTCTCTTCTTCAATTGATTTCTTTTCTTCTTTCTCTCTATTTCATTTTCTTGTAAACATTGATGTGATTTTTGATGTTGATGTGTCAATTTTGGTTCAGTCTTCTTTAGGCATCGAGAGTGCACCTTGACACTGGAAAAGACCTTGGGATTCCAGATGGTGATCTTATCAATGCGAAGGGACCTTACCGATACAACACCGCTCTTGTTCCTGATGGCATTAAATATGAAAATATTCAAGTGGATCTAGGTGTATATCAGTAGTTAGTTGTAAAATTTATGTTAAACACTGTTTATGTCTTAATCTAAGCCTAATTTCACATCTTGTTTGGATAAATTTAAACATAGTTGGTCAAATGATAGCCTAATTTTATATCCCATCTCCATCGTTTAGGTGATAATTGAAACTCTTCACTGTTTTTTCATCCCTGAGGTTCACGAAAGAATGTGATAGGCTTTTACTTGTTTGTAATCTCAATCAGCAATGGCAAGATATTAAAGAAGTTTCTAACAAAGTGAGAAAATCTCTACTAGTAAAAATCTCATGATAACATAATAATAACATGAACAAAATAAAAGTTGAGAAAGATTGAAAGAGACATAATATTACATGGTTATGACGCAATTCAAGATTGTGCTAAGACATTATGATACATCAAAGTCTCTCGTACAAAAATTTTTGTGGACTTTACATATTTATTTCTCTTCATTTTTTTCTTACATAAAAACAATTTTATTTATAAGGTGAGAGATACACAATGTAAGAAAATAACAATTAATTAGAAATCTTCAAAAATATAATCGATATCAAATCCTTGAAATCAATAAATTAGTAAATTGATTTTGGTATCTCATTTATCAATTCAGTGACACCAATTAGGATTGCTGATCAGTAAAGGAAGCTCATAAGCTGAATTTTGCTCGCTAAACCACACTTAATAGAACTCCTCGGATGGATACATCTATTATAAACGCTACATGCAGGGGATTCATAGAAGGTATATTACAGAGTGATGACCCCAAAATGCAGAGCTTTGACATGGATGCTTATTCATTCTGGGTTGTTGCGTAAGAATCAACTTCACTCATATCTTTCAAGAACTGAACTTCGAATTTTTAGCAATTTAAGAAATGGTCTGCTCAACTCAGGATGGACTTTGGTAACTGGACAGAGACTTGTAGATATATGTATAATAGGTGAAATGCAATGTCTCGCTCCACAGTAGAGAGGTGTCATTCTAACAAAAACTTTGTAAATTGTAGAGATTGGAACTACCAAATTTTCTATCTGGGCTTCAATTTGATTCAGTTATCGTGTTAAAAAGTGCTCTCACCTTTCAATTGAAAATCTCATGAATTTTAGTTTTAGTTGTAGAGGATCTAACTTAGAAACTGTAGCCAAATGGTAAGATGCCTGTAAGTTTATAAAAGGTCTAGCTATACTCTGTAGGTTTATCCTGGAGGATGAACTGCGATCCTTGTCTCTCTCGATAATGTTGGAGTATGGAATCAAAGAGCAGAAAACCTGGATAGATGGTACCTTGGCCAAGAAACATACATGAGAGTTATCAATCCTAAGGACAATGGTGACACAGAAATGGCCACTCCCAGTAATGTTCTTTATTGTGGCACCCTTAAGAGCCTGAAGAAGTAAGTGCGAAGCCTCATTATAAGCACTTCTCTCTTTCTGATCATGTTACTGATCTGATGACTTGTTTTTGCATAGTAGGGATCAAGCATCTGCTGCGATTCCAAAGCCTGGTGGTAACTTAAAGGTTTCGTCGCTCTAATGGTGGCACTTTTTGCTTCCATTTTTACCTCAAGT